CACACTAGTACACATAAAATAAAAATAAAATATTTTTAAAAAGAAAAGAAAAACAGCTCATATTTCTCATCTCTTCTACATAGATGTCTACTATTAGCTTTTTATAAGATATATTTGTGCTGGTGACATTTTCATTCAAATGTGTCACACAACCTCTTCCTCCCGGTGTCTAGCATCGTTTGGAAACGCAGCCTCTTACATGCCCACACGGCACAATAAGTGCATTAAGTGCCTAGTGTTCACCCAGGCTGGGGTTTTCTTGGAACAAAAATACTTGCCATCCTTTTCAAGTGGCTCATTATTTTGGAGGCAGAGGCAGTAAACCGCTGGTGAGAAAATTAAATTCTGACAAACAACTCTCCTCTCAGTCGGTGCACTAATTGAAATGGAACCTAATGCCTTTAGTAAAGAGCAGTCAGAAAGTATACAGAATGCATCTGCAGAGAAAGAGCAGTCCGTGACCTTCACTGAGCTCGGGTTCAGCAGCCTGAATTCAGCAGACACACTATGCAGCTGAAGTGGAGACTGTAACAGGGGGCTATCAGCCTAAACCAGCAGAATAGCCTGCCATGAGGGCCGATGGATGGCAAACCCTAATCTTACCTTTACACCAGTTCCTGAAAATGGGATCAAAATTAAAGCGAATGTCACAACGATGACCCACTCTGTATAGATTTTACTTTTCACAGAAATAAATTCACAGTAAGAGAAAGGATGACAGGCTTGTTCATTCTCCGGTACACCTTTACTGCAAGATGCCTCCCTGCCGGCTCTCTGGGCACTTATGGTGTCCTGCAAAGAGCAGGGAAAAGCATTGCCACAGATATCACAAAGGCACAGTACCCATCGAAGTCCTAGCCTTGTGCTGCCGGAGTTCTAGTTATGTTATGAGTAATACTCTAGAAACAAGTAATGCAAATTGGAAGAAATCTGTCCTGAAGAGAAGCAAAAATGACTATATAAAGCTATCGATGCTGAAACTGCTGCAAAAGCTTTAACAGTAACAACAGGAAAATGACTAAGTTTTGGTGTGTCTGTTCTAAAAGAATATCTTGCTGCTCTTTAGGCTGACCCTCAAAAAAGGATCTCATTCTTTAACCTGAGCAAAGCAGAATGCAGAGCTGGGGATAAGGTGCTAATCTGGTAAACCACCTTGGGTGGTACACTCAAAGTAAAATTGGAGTACACATAGAAAATGGCACTGGTTTCTGGATGGTGGAATAAGTATAGATAGATCAAAATTATTCACTTTTCTAATCTAAAAAATAGTATTATAATGGTAGAATTGCAATTTTTAAATGGTGGGTTGATTGTATTCCTTAAGTCTTAAAGAAAATGCTTTCGAAGTTGTCATTTCTGCTCTTCAGACCACTAATTTACGTGTTTAGAAAGAAAGCGTGATTTTTAAAAGTTTATATGTGAATATATGTGAAGTTGCAAAGTATTTTATTTGTATTTGGGCAAATGCCAAAAAGAGGTGAAACACCTCCATTCCAATCCCGCCCACTGATGATCTGAACAGAGTACCCCAGGAACGTCATCTTAAGGAGTAAAAAGGCATAGTCTTGAATCCATGGTCTTCTCTTCCAAGAAGTTCTGTGTCCCACTGAGGTATAAGTGATAAAGGGCCGAAGTGGAGGGAGGGAAGCTAGGACTTCCTTCCTATTCTAGTTTATTTTATCCAGCTTTATTAAAGTTATGTTTGACAAATAAAAATTGTATCGTCTCTGCCTAGGATGTTTGTTCCCCAGATAGCCGTATGTATCTCCCTCATCAATTTTAGGATTTCATTCAAATGACAGCTTGCTATTGAGGCTTTCTTAAAATGACAAATCTCTTCTTCTTTCCCATCAGACAGCAGGGAATTTTGTCTATCAAATAAAATAGTATGTTGTCTGTAATAAATATTTTTGAATGAATGAGTTAGCCACAAGTTTTAAAAAAAAGCAAAATTAAAATAAAGGCAACTATTTAAGAAAGTCAATAGAAATAAACAACATAGTTCAGTAGGGAATACTTGCAAAATCAAAATAATGTAAACTCTATACATCGATTCAGCCGAACACTGTTGTAAATAAGGGAAGGGAAACAAGATATAATGGGGTTAAGTTACATAGCCTTCCTCAGCAGTAGAGTCAAAGGTAATTTCTAAATTTAGTGACTCAAAAAACAATACGTACCTAAAAATTCAAGAGGAAGAATGGTGAAGAAAAAGAGTTGTGTGCAGTGATGGCAGAGGGCACTGTTATACATGTTAGCTCTCTGATGGTTCGAACTGTGTGTGTGTGTGTGTGTGTGTGTGTGAGTGTAGCATTTGACAAAGGTGTTTATCACCTTTCAAGTGAGACCAATGTTTTTCTCAAGTTCTGAAAAAGCTCAATTCTTTGTAGTTCATATCGCAATGACTGGCACAGAGTATTCCATAAATATCTTTGGAATGGATGGAGCTATAATATATAAAGACACATGGAAAATACCTTTTGGATTTCATATTAAATCATATGAAGTATTAGTTTTTGACAACAGCAAGAAAAAATGCTTCATAAAACTTTGATGTATGTCACTGACAAAAAATGAAAAACATTCTTTCAAATATAGCCAACAAATATTTATCAATTAAAAATGTATGAAGAAAAAAAATCTCCTTCAAGTTGTGAGGTAAAAAAACATAAAAGTGTAATGTAACTGGACATGGTAGTATGCAACCATAATCTCAGTACTAGGGAAGCTGGGGTAGGAGCTTGGGAGGCCAGCAGGGGTAACATAGTGAGAGCCTATCTTTAAAAAAATCCCAATGGCAAAATAAAACAAATGCTTTAACAGCTGTATACTGCCACCTAGTGGCTATGTGTAACCGTGGCCTGCTTTGGCCCCTGGAAAGATTTTTTTTTTCCATCTATAACCCTCCATTTCGGTTCACCGGCTAAAATCCAACAGGAATATAAATACAGGGGGGAAAAAACAGGCAGTAAAGCTAAAGTATTTTATTAATAATTTATTGTCAGTAAGAAAGGCTGGCTAATGGTAGTTTTCAGTAAAAACCTTTACAAGACCATTGCATCACAAATATACAGACACTATAAAAACTGTGTCATGGCGGTTTTGGTTCTAAACAGGTATGCAGAAGGTCCCCTTTACACTTTCCAATAATGAAAAATGTTTATAATCCTAAAATACAGCAACCCATTTAAGACATGTGCATGTATCAGCTCTTCTTCACCCTCTATGTACAGCTACAAATAAATGGCTAGACTGAAATGTGTTAATGAAATGTCATACTTCAGTGGAAAAGAACAGAAAGTGAAACCTGGTTACGTTAGAGAATCAGGGAGCTAGGTAATGAGACAAACACCACTGAGATTCAGCAGAAAACAAATGCACGACGTATCCTGAAAGCCTAGTAAAAACTATGGGGAAAAAAATCAAATCTGTACATAAAATTTACACAAAAAGGAAAATTAAAATAATCGAATCTATATAAATACATGACTCATGCTAACAAGATGGTAAGGACCAAGTTTTGTTTCCTTATTTGAGCACAGACACATGTAAATACAAAAAGATGCACAGCCAATGAAAACCCCATCCAATTACAGTAGGTTAGGACACTGGAAATGGCTAACATGTCAAGAGGCAAGTGATTCAGTGCAGCCATGCCCACTGCAGCTCATGGGAAAGAAGCGCATAAGCACTGCTGCAAAGAGCAATGCGGAGGATCACTCACACCATCTCGAGGTTCGATAAAGTCCAGGCACTTTGGGGGGGAGTTTGAGTGTCACACTTCCGTATGTTGCTGGGAATCTAGCGGAGGGATCGTGACCTCTTCAAAGTGGCCGTCGTCTCCGCTCTCATAGTCACTCATCATGACCTCAGACTCCACTTCACAGCACGCTGACACATCAGAGCAGGAAGCCGTGGAGGCATACACAGACATGGGCATGTTTTCTATAGTGGGGGCTTCGAAGTTTCTTTGATACCCTGGAGGGTAAGGGGTGAAGGGTTCTCTACAAGTACTATTCTCACCAGTGCCCTTTTTTTGAGGTTCAGACATATCAACAGGATAGAAATTGGGCAGATACTGATTCAGGTTGAACCTCTGCCGATTTCTGGATGAAGACCCCAAGCTACCTGCAGCAGGCATGTCTCTAGGTGGGTGTATAGATTCAAACTGATCGCTGAATTCTGGAGGCAATGGTGGTAATTCATCAGGTGTAGGGAAGTCTTCCGGCGGTGGTGGAAAGTCACTTTCAATGTCATAACCCCCAGGGTAATAGTCAGTGTCGATGGCATTTGGATCTGCCGAGTAGAGGGGTGTGTGCTCATCAATAACCTCGTAATTGGGGAACTCTTGTATGTCTGGCAAAGGAACAGTTGGCATCCAATCTGATGTATCCCAGTGGTACCCTGGGTAGAAAAGAAAACAAGAAATTTCAATGTTTTTTGCCTAGCTTTCATGCCTTGGAAAAAGCTCAGTATTATCAGGCACAAGGATGCAAAATTATTTGTGCATTCATTCTACGCTCATCACTTTGGAAACCCTTTGCCTTGAAGGCAGAGCCCCACCCTGACTAAGCAACTCTATCTCTAGAATGTGAACATTTTAGTACATATCTGACATTCAAGGTAATAGAGTCTCAACAGAATCAGGTGCACCATTTAAAATGCATGCTGTTTCATAGAAACAATTCTAATCACTCTTCAACTTTCCTTCTGTAACTGCTAACCCGTTGCTCTACATGAAGAAAATCTTAGGATGTTAGTTATGAAGTTATGTTCTTTCAGAATGAAAGTCTCTATGGAGTGAAAGATCAAACATCACTTGGATGTGTGCTGCCTGTTAGCCATAAGTAAAACAAGGAATTATTTTAATAGAGGTTATGTATCAAAGCATGCCCCTACACCAAGCAAAATATAATCAAAAAAAGTTGAAATATATAACACAGCTTGTAAAAGGCTAAAGTTAACCGATTTTTATTACAATTAAAAGGACTAAGAATCATTTTGGACACTATGAAAGCATTACTATTTTTTAAGAAAACCAATCTCCAATTTAAGGGTAGGTATTTCTTTTTTTCTCTTTTCTTTTCTTCTTAGGATTTTAAATGTTGTTTGGCAGCTGGGAAAAGGTCAGGCAATCCGTGCTTACAACGCAGTGTGCAACTACGGGCTGAGTTGCTACTGCAGCACCAAGCACCCCAGTGAGCAAAGTCGGCATTGGGCCAGTCTTTACCAGTGTTCTTTAGTGATTATTAATGCACAGCTGGCATGCATAAGTCACCTCTTGATTTGCTGAGGTCAGGAGCAGCCAAAGATTCTTTTGGTGGCAAAGTGGAAAGAAAAGAAAACATTGATAATTAAAACAGATAGATGGCTGAAACGGCAATACAGACAAGCACACAGACAATACAATGTGTTTGTAAAGGCCCAGTCAGCCAGACATGGTGTCTTTACCGCATTCTTTCTAAAGATTACAAATGACCGAGAAATTGATGTTGCACAAACTAAATGGGATGTGGAAATGGAAAAAAAAAACAAAACAAAAAACAAAAACCAAAACAATGATTGATGATTAACTAGAGACTCTGTATAAAACCAACAGAATTTTCTTAGGAAAATTAAAGTCTACAGGCACTAATGCAACATAAATTGATCAGTTACTTAGGTGATAATCCAAAAACATGTAAATATACATTATGTTCCCACATGCTACAGCACATCAGAACCTTCAAAAGTACAAGTTCATAAAAACTGATAAACTTATATAGATAGCCATAAGTTGACAATTTCCCAAAACTGTCTCCGTTTTAACTATGACTTTATATTTATACAGTTAACCTTTCCCTAGAGGGCTGGATTAATGATCTACATTTATTCACTGGCCTCCTCCCACCAAAGTTGTAATTACACGCTCTCTTCTAGAGATGTCATTATACACAGGAGTCTGAAACTATGTCCAAGGAAGGGAATGTAAATCTCAGGGTCACAGGATGCTTAGCTTTTGCTGAACTTCAGGTTTTCTCTTTGAAATGAGGGTGAAAAATCCCTGATTATTCTGATGACTAAACAAGATAATGTAGATGAAATGTGAACTGTTAGTGCTATGAAGACAGTGGTTATCGTGGTATAAAGATGGCCATTTTCCCCAACAAGATAATGTTTCCATATATTCTGTAATGTCCTTGAAAACAAATAGACTAATTCTCAACAAATAATAGTTGATTGGCATCTCCTTTGGAAATTTAAATATCACCGAAAAGACTGTGACATTTTCAAAAATATGATTAAAAAGTATTTAGGAAATATGGAATTTTTAAGTCTACTATAATATTGTAAGTTCCTTTATAAATGAGGATTGACAACTCTTGTTAACACCATTTGAAAACCCTTTACACTTCAGCTGGTTTTCAACTTTAAATTCAATTTATACTCTTTAGATAAGCAATAAAAAATTCAATGCAAATTACAATGCAGGCACTGTTTAAACTCTGCCTCTTTAATCTCTTATCAATATTTAAAATATTGGAATGTCATCATGTTTAAAATAAAACTGGTTAGACAATATATATATAACTTTCTTTGATTTACAAAGTAAAAACAACGTACTTCTAATGAAAATAAACCAAGTCCCCCAGGAGCTGTAACCACTGTGCTGACACCTGCCCTGTTCCTCTCCTTACCAAATCTAGCAGGATCCTTCCCTCTTCCTACCTAAATGGGTCCGCCTGCCAACATGTCCTCACAGAAGAATCCCTGGTGTTTTAGAGCAGTGATGTTTGAGTACTTTTTTTCCATTTTCATTCTGTGTGTGTAGTATGCATATGTGGGCTCATGGTTGATATCAGGAATCCTCCTAGATTGCTCTTTCACTGAGGCAGGGTCTTGCAATGAAACCCAGAGTTCACTCATATGGCCAAATCTTACAGCCAGCTTGCTCTGGGGCTCTGCCTTTGGAAGCTGGAATTACAGGTGGGCTGGCAAGCCAATCAGCTATTTTATATGGGTTCTGAGGCTCCAAACTCATATTCACACCTTCATAACAAGCACTTTACCCACTGAGACATCTCCCCAGCCCAGTCTGTGTGCTCTTGTCTATTCAGGTAGTTCTTTGCTGTAATCCCTAGATCAGGACCATCTGAGTCAACCAGGAACTTGGTAAGATTGAAAATTCTCAGACCCAAAATAAGAAACTTGGTGTTGGGAACCATCTACCGGCTCTCAGCAGTCCTCTACAGGAGGAAGATTAGCCATACATCTCACATGGATTTACTCTAACTTCAATGAATTAATACGGGCTGATTTAATTTGAAATCAGTTAAGAGAACTGGTCAATGTCCTTATTTACTATTCTAAACAGATTAAGCTTCGTATGTAATGATTTTCACTAAATCAAAATATATGCTCTAACATATACTATGCACTTTCTTTGATAATACTCAGAGAAAAACCAAAATCATGGGTCAGTTTCAGATGATTATGAAAGTTTTGTAGTGTTTGGCTTTATTTGTGTTTATATGAAGAGGATTGTTTTCCTTTAAGAACTTTAGATACTCAAATTGCTTCATAGCATTACAACACACAAAAAAAGCTCTCAGGATCATATGTATTGTTCTATATGGATGGTTAAGTAACACAAGCATATAATATACAAATATTTTTTCACTATACTTATATTGTGACTATATACTTCACAAATTAAAACTACCAAACCTCCTGAAATCCCAAACTACTTTAGTAACAGCAAGACTGGCAAAAACACAGTACTCTGACAGTCACCATTAATCACACACACAAAGCAAGCACTTAGACTATACCTTCTTTATTCACCGTGTCAACGACAGCATTGACAAGGTGTATTACAGTCACTATGGAAGCTTGTAAAAAGGTACAAAAGGAATCAATTAGGAAAAATCTTTGGTTAGTATAAAACAGTGTATGAACTAAAATTTCATAATAAAATAAAATTAATGAAATTTCACTCATAATTTATAACATGTAATGGATGCTTGGATACCACCATATAATTATGCACAAACTCTGCATTATTCCTGTTAGAGGCCTCAGAGATGGTTCTAACCAAGCTATCTATACACTTATTATTACTAATCTAGTGAATAAAACAGTCATGTTTTAGTGGAAGTTAAGTAAAAAACTTCAGCTGTGTATTTTCTACAATTATAATTGTGGATTCTTTCACGGAAAAGACAATTCTTATTTCAACATCTCTGAGATAAAAGATTTCATATACAAGGAACTAGTGTATTATTCTAGAATAAAGAAATCTAAGGAGATATGTCTAGCATAATACAAAATTAGTTGTGTACCTCTACTTCACGTTTCTCACTTTCTTACAAATGGATCAACAGCTGGTAAGCTGACATGTCAGTGGCAAAGCACAACTATTCAGCTATTTGCTGGATAGGTAATTTTTTCATTTGTGTGTTAGGTTACTTTAAATACCAATGTCAAGATAAATATGCCTGTATGTATGAGTACATTCTAATCCTGGGATCCAGTGTCTATACTGTCTAATACAAGGGAAAGGGGATCTTCCTGGTGTCATGAAGGATCTAATGAAGGGGACATGGGGAGATTTTCTGAACTAGCTGGGTGGGCTAAATGAACAGAAAATGTCTACATAAAAGGAAGACTTTTCCAGCTGCGGTTGAAGCTTGGCAGTCTGACTATAGTTACTAAATGGTCAATGAAATGTAACGTTTTGAAAAATGAACCCGTAAGCCCTAGAATGTTGAGCGACTTCTAGAAATTGGAGGAATAAGGAAACAAGTTCTTCCCTCAGAGCTCCAAGAGAGGAATGCAGCCTTACTGACACCCTGATGTCAATACGAAGAGACACAACTGGGTGACTTCTAAACTACAAAACTACACAAGAATTTCGGGTACTCTATTAAGTCACTAAGTTTGTGGTTAACTTCTACAATGCTTTAGAAAACTATAAATAAAATGTAAGTCCAGAGTCCTGTCACAGAATTTAATTTTATGACCGATAATGATTACTTTTGTAATGATTCAAATACAAACAGTCCTGTGCATGTCCTTGCCCCATGCTGACATAACCTGACAATTAACTTTCACAAATAACTTGACTATAACTTATTAAAAGCATCTAAGTTATTATTAAGAATAAGGTTTCAACAAAAAGAACAAGAAAATACTGACAAAATTCTGAAATGTATTTATGAAAAGCATTTACGGGTCAAGATATATATCACATAAACTAGCTATACGAACTCTTTGGTACTGAAAGTAATGACAGAAATAATCCCATTTTGTTCTTATTGGTTTAACAAGCAAGGATGCATCCATATATGCTACTCAGAAATTAACATGAGTGCCCTTTAACATCATGTGTTAACAGGCTTGAAATTTTAAATGCACTGTACATATTCGTGGCTATCTCTAATGTGGAAAAGGGCTCTCCAAAGTTTTGTGAACAATGCAGACTATAAAGATGCAATGCATTATGAATTGTGTTACTATGGTCATAGACTATATTACTTTGGAATGGATAATTATCAGCAAATTCCTTCTTTCCAATGATAAAATATTCATAATATATAAATATATTTTTACACAAGAAAAGAGTTAAAATGAAGCTTACACATTCTGAAGTTCAAAATTTTCCAATGAAAATTACATTATCATGTTATTAAATACTGACAACTTCCTGTAGTAGTGTGTGCAAGGTGAGGCTATCAATGCAATTTACCCCAGGGAAATCAGAGAAATACAACTGGTGTCACAGATCCCGCTGCCAAACTTTCTTCATTAGAAATATAATCAAACTTACTAGCCATCTCTTAAACTCTGCTCTCAGTCAGTACGCTCTGATCCAAATGGGAGCTGGGGCAGCAGTGGGGTTGGGGAAGAGACAAATAAAACCTTGTAATACCAAAGGTGTGACTGAAATTGAACATTTCAGACCATTACAAGTCTTTTCTTAGAGGGCGTACATATGTGCGTCTGCATTACACAGTCAGAAAAGTTCTTACAAGGATTTTGGGGAGGGGAATCACAAAGCTTCTATAACACTGTTAAGTAAAATAAATAAATAAACAAATAATAAGCAAATAAAAGTAGTCAAACAGGTAGAAATTAATTATCTTTTCTATTGCTACAGTTATAATCTCTTCATTACAAACACTGTTATGTTTTAGGTTTTGTTTTTGCAATGCTAAGGATTGAACCCAAGCTTCTCTGTACATGCTAGGCAGGTGCCCTACCACTGAGCAAATGTTAATATTCTCCCCAGCAGACAGATATTCATGCAAGCATTGTATGTATCTACAGCAAGGGAAGCATGGGCCAGTTTCAGAACTAATTAGGAGATCAAGCCCGTCCACACCACTGAACAGCACAATGCCAGCAGCATCACACGAGCAGACACAAGCACCCAACACTCACCATTATCGTCACAGGACTCAGATTGGAAGGAGCTCAGGGATTGCACCTCGGACAGGCTCTCCCGGGCACTGTACGGCTGGGAGGGCTTTTCCTCCAGGGGCTTCTTGGAAAGACAAGGCTCAAGATCCACCACTTTAGCTAAAAGGAAAAGAGATGGCAGACAGACCATTAGTTCCACGTGGAGCATGGCTCCTTTCTGTGCACGGCTATGTTTTACAAGGCAATACCTGAGGTCTGTCTAGTACATAAACCACTGAACGGAAAAGAGAGCAAGGGAAACATCTTAAAAACAAAACAGCAGAAAGGCCTACAAATATTCTCAAGAGATTCACAAAATAGAGTTTCTCCATAAAGAAAGAATAACGAGCATTAAATTAAAATTTGTCTTAAAATGGTACGTATACCTTTTTTCTAAAGTATCAAACGCATGCTGGGCCACTAATATACATACTGCTCAAACACCGCTACCTCTTCTGGCCGTACTTAAAAAGCAAATAGCATAGAAATTCTCCCCCCAATTATTTCTTGTTATAATAAAAGTTCCCAAATTATAGCTGAGCATATCTGTCAGTTAAAAAGATAAATCAATCTTTCCCAGAATATAACATTAGGTTCAACTACTTTATTAAAAATAGTAACAAACTCCCAATCCCTCAGCCAGCGACTGGGACTTTCAAATGAGATTTTCAATTCAGAAACATTTCAGACTTTGATGCACCGTCTTCAGCTCCACAGATGACTATGGCAGAGCCTAGAACCTCACAGTGTGCCAGTGATATCCTTACCATCATAGTCAAAGTCCCAGCTCGGCTTCTGTATGGAGTCGCTGTCAGAAGGGGAATTGGAAGGCGGTGGTGGAGGCAAGTTTGGGGCTACACTGCACACAGCCACTGCTTTCCTGTGTCCATGCATAGACTCGGGGTTAAAGGTACTGAATTCTGGGTGCTCTGGAATAGCAGATCCTTCAAAGGAGTTTCGGTCAAGATTGTTTCTAGAGTCACTTGGAATGCTTGGAGTGTAGGAAATAGGGCGGACAGGCACCTGGGGTGGTATGTCAGAGTAAATGTTCTTGTTCAGCTTTGAATCAAAGTAAGGTCTTTGCAAGAAGGCCGTGCTTGGCCCCAAGCGCTTGTCTTCAGGTTCAGCCTGGTGTTTCTTCTTCCGACTGATCATCTTGCGGCAGAGGACAAACACTACCACCAGTAAAAATATCCCTGCTATAAACACAACAATTCCTATTCCTTCAGCCAGTCCAATGTTCCAGGGAGTGGACACATACTGGTTGGGAGCAGCGTCCTCACAGTGCTTCCCTCTGTACTCCTGGCTGCAGTTACAGTGATAGGAGCCATGTGTGTTCTCACAAAGGGCCCCGTTCCGACAGGGGTTTCCAGCACATTCATCAATGTCGCTCTGACACCTGCCAAGAAGGTGAAGAATGAGAGACCTATGCAGTAGATGTCAGACTATGCCTGAGCTATAATCCTTCAGAATAAAGTCTAAACATCTCTCCTTCATAAGAAGCCAAAACAAAGCCAAACATGCACTACCAGAAAACATCAAAAACAGACACTAGAACCAAAGAGCCCTGTATGGTATAATTAACTACTTGCCCATGGGCTCTGAATGTATATTTTGTGAGAGGCAACCATATAAACCTAATATCTAGCTGTAGTCTTCTAGAATTTAACAGATTTCTAAATCTTTGTTGCAAGCTTAACACGAGTTGTTTCTAGGTCTGACAGACAAGCTATCACTCAGAAACTGGGAAGGTGAATTTTAATAAACAGTTTGCTGTTAACCCTCCTCATGGGCTAGATGATTTCTATGAAAATGTTCTTATTTGGGACTACGACAGTTCTATAAAATGTGACAGGGTAGAAAACTCACACCTCCATTTAAAAATGCTATTTCATGTAGAAACATCTTCCAGACACCATCCTCACAGAACAGACCTCCATCTTTCTAAACAGGGGCATGTGGCATGGCTGTGCGTACCTACCCATCACTTCTAAAACTCTTTCCTCAAACAAAACTTACCCACTTGTATATCACAAACAAAAGAATGAAAACTCTGAATATTGATATATTTTTGTCAAGAATGGTTAAGGGTGTTGTTCAGTGATTAGAATTAGGAAGGTCAACTTCTGAAGTAGGGCCTCATAACCAATGGCAGAATACAGGGTTATAAAGACCACAAGCACAAAAGGATACAGAGTAACTGTGAACAGATCATACCAGCTGCCTATTAAGACTGAGTGAGACTGACCCAAGCACTCCACGCAAGGTGCTTACAGATAACATATACCAAGTAACTTTAAAAAAAATTCAACTGACAAGTTAATTGTTCAATATAAAATGGTATGAAAAATTAAAATCTCTTTGCTTTTTAAAATGATATATACATGCATTATTTTTCAAGACATATATAAATGAGTCATTTTTATCATGTGGAAAATAAGCTTATACTAAGGATTACAAAAGATAAAGGTTTCGAGATGCCATAGAAATGTTAGTTATAGCACACTGTGAGAAAACATTATCATCACCAGTCTCAACAATGGATGGATACAATACGACCAACACATGCTTTAGAAAGCACAGTAAGAGGCTGGAGAGTTGGCTCAACAGTTAAGAACACTGGTTGCTCATCCAGATGACCTGGGGTCAGTTCCCAGCACCCACATGGTTGCTGACAATGATTTGTAACTCTAGTTCCGGGGGATCCCATCCCCTCTTCTGGCCTCTGCAAGCATTGCACACATAGGTGCACTTACGTACATGTAGGCAAAACACTTGCATACATAAAAAAAAATAAAAATTTAAAAAAGAAAACACATTCTTTGTCTATAAATGTTAGCTCTAAAGAACAGAAACAGGGCTTTCAAGCTTTATATTAATCTGTTCGATTATTTTCATTTATCTTAGAGACTAAAAGGTAAGTCATAAAAAGGCAATGAGAACCATTGCTTCTGTAGTGACACAGTCTAAGTTAATTAAGTTATGTTAATGGTCAGGACACTACAGAAAGACAGATACAAATCTTGAAAAAAACCAATTACCTTTCTCCCCTAAAGCCTGAGTCACACTGGCAAACAGCACCATCCAAACTATCAAAACATGTTCCACCATTTTTACATGGTTCATCTTTGCAGTACGGACTAAGCTGGCATCTAAAGAATAAGGGAAAAACAAACAAACATGTAAACCCCTCATGAGTCCACTGAAAATACAGGGACACAGAAAGCATTAACAAGGGAATACAGTGACCTGTTCCATGCAGAATTCCATGTCATAAAACACTTCACTTGATAATTCACAATGTAAGTCAAGAAAAGTAAGCATACCTCTGACCAGTATACAATCCCCTGCACTGGCACACAAAAGCTCCATTGTCTACCAGGCATGTTCCACCGTACAGGCAGGGGTTGGAGGCGCACGGGTTGACGCTCACCTCACAGTATGTTCCCGCATACAAAGCACTGCACTTGCAGTAATAACCTATGTATAAGAAATAAACAAGAGTCCAGTCACTCAATGACTCAGGAAACATTTTATTCAAGTGAAATGTTGTTCCCTAAGATCTATAAAAGCTGGAAAAATTCCTTTTCTCTCTGGGTGAAGAGCTGTCTATGTGGTCAAGCCTTCTACTATGGTACAGACAGACTGTCCCTTATCCAAAATGCTGGAAGCAGAAATAATTTAGATTGTGGAATTTTTCAGATTTTGGAGTATTTTCATATATTTTACTGGTAAGGCATCTCTAAACTGGGAATCTGATACCCTAAGTACTCTAAAACCTGGAAATCTGCACATCATGCTGGCACTCCAAAAGTTCTGTATTTTTGAAGCATTTTAGATGTTCAATTAGGTATGTTCACCCCATAGAAAAAACACAAAGAAGTAAAGAAAATACTTGTGATCAGCTTTGGTTAATCACAATTTATGTAAGACTAGTGGGTCAAATGCTTAAAGCAGGAAAAAAAATAGTTTTGATGATAACTACACATACACACACACACACATACACACACACACACACACACACACACACCCCTCTCATCAACATATTTGCCACCCACAAGCATTTAAGGATTAAATGAGATAATAATGAACAACAAAGGCACTTTAAAGACCATAAGCTACCATTCAAACGCTACATTAAAAAAACCATCAAATTTGTTCAAAAGGGCAGAGAGAAAGTCTCTTCAGAGTGTAAACTGTGAAACCTGTGTGGTAAGCTATTTCCAATGATCTGCCTTTAGTGAGTCTGGAAGGACATCTTTGCCCCCTATAAAGTTGGTCATGGCCCTAGGATTTTTGAGGGATGTGGCACTTTGGGTTAGGTCTGAGTGACCAGTGAGTAGTTATCAAACACCTTTATCTTTTGCTGTGGTGAACACGATATGCCATTTCAAGAAAATATCCCTCTCTGCCTCATACAATGAGGACTGTCTCCTTGCTGCCCTTATCTGGACAGCTAATTAGTACGAATACAGTGTAAGCCGTGTTGTGTTATGGCACTAAGACTTTCCGAGTGCTGTTATGGAGCTAATCTGTTCTAGTTTATCAGCTTTAGAGTACATACAAATTTTGTCTAAGAAAAACAGTAGAAAACTAAATCTTTGAAACGTAAATAAAATACTGTCTTTTGGAGCTGGAGTGATAGTGGGTAAGAATGCTTGCTGCCCTTGCAGAGGACCTAGGTTCTGTTCCTTGTACCCACATAAGAGCTCACAACCACCTTCAACTCCAGTTTCAGAAGAACTAACATCCTCTTCTGGTCTCTGTGGGTACCAGTGACACTTAAACATGTAGTACACTTACATACATGCAGATAAAGATCTCATACACATAAAACAAAAAGTTTTTTAAAATCTTAAAAAAAAAAAAAAAGCCGGCGTGGTGGCACATGCCTGTAGTCCCAGCACTTGGGAGGCAGAGGCAGGTGGGTCTCTGTGAATTCAACGCCAGCCTGGTCTACATAGTGGGTTCCAGGACAGCTGGGGCTACAAGGAGACCCTGCTTCAAAATGAAAAAAAAAAAAAAAAATCTTAAAAAAAATAACCACTCAGGACTGGAGAGATGGCTCAGCAGTTAAGAACACTTGGCTGTTCTTGCAGAAGACCGGGGTTTGAATGCCAGCATCCACATGGCAGCTAACAACTGTCGATAACTCCAGTTCTAGGGGATCTGACAGCCTCTTCTGTCCTCTGTGGGCACTGCATGACACGGGTGCACTTACCTACATGCAGGCAATACATGCATACACATAAAATAAAAAATAATAATTAAAATATTTTTTAAAAAACCAACTAGTCTTTAGTATTGATCTATTAATCACACCAAACTCTAGTACTTAAAAGCGGTCCAACAGTTCATGATATAGAAGCCCAAGTACTAACCATACCAGGGTGTCTAAACACATGAGTATGTAAATAGTTCAGGAGGGGCTCAAAGCATTTTGAGAACCATGCTCATTTCTCACTGCTAACAAGACTACAGGAGATACTCTGTGCCAAGCTATCAGATAAGGTTAGAAGAAATATTAACTGAATTCTACCCAGTCAACGTCTATGGACTCAGAAGATCTGATTGTTAGCTGTAGTTATTGGTAGTGGCTGGGGCATCCTGCTCAAGCAGGTGGGATGCAGCTGTAGAGACTCAGCAGCCAGAGAAACTGCTGCTCAGCCCTAGATACTGGAAAGAGCACTAAGCTCCATTCCACTCCCTTACAATTCTGGCTACTTAATTCTGACTACACTATTTGTGATGAATACAAGAGCTGATGATACTATTGAACAAAAGTGGAAAAACCAAAGTTATGTGGGAGACTTCTCCTTAAGTATATACAACATCTGAAAGACTGTAGTATTGTAAAGCCTACCTCCAGTGGGTGAGGGATTGCAAACACCTCCATTCTGACAAGGGTTACTGGAACAGTCTTCTGTGGCTGTTAGTAAGCACCCAGGAGACACATCTACCCATTCTTCGATGTGCGCATAGGCTCTTGGTTTACTATTTAAAGGCAGCTCCTGCCCATTCAAATAGATGGAGTCCATACAGCCCCTGAACCCGTTGGCAACCTGGGGGCTTCGTCCATGCCTTGTTCCTTGCTGGCGGATGTGACCACCAAAAAACACATAGTTATCCAGGTTCAGGGTTTTCAGAGTCCCTGGTGCTGTGCCTGATGCAGTGTGGACTTGATCGAGAACCAATTTAGCATAATTCCCATCCACTTCTAGAGACACTGCATGCCACTGTCCATCATTGACTTGAATACTCTGAACAGAGACAATTCCAGGGCCACTTCCACAGTCAAATTTGTACTGCAGTCTTCCATTATGAATCTACAAAATAATTACTGTTCACATTAATCTGGTAGAACCTTCAATTTCAGTCTGTCCAAAACTCTATAGAAAATGCATGTTTAGTGAATGAAGGTAGAAAAAAATAAGGCATTACATTTACGTACTGAAGAACATGTACTCGTTTGTCTATTAAATAAGTAATAAAAGTAGACTGGGGGGCCTATCAAGTGCCAAGTAGAATTCAAAAAGCATCATAGAAGTGATAATAACTGTTAGTTGAACACACACAGCACACAAAAACAAAACATGAAGCAATATCAACAGTTAAAACTCAATAATGTTAAATAAAAGGTGGACATGACTCTTATCACTTCAAAAATGCGTAGGATCTCTGCATAAAGTCACTATAGCATTAATAAAATTTAGTATCTAGAACACGAATGCTGTCATATGTCTAAAGATGTTTGTGTTTAAAAAAAAAAAGATGTAGCCGGGTGTGGTGGCACATCCCTTTAATCCCAGCACTTGGGAGGCAGAGGCAGGTGGCTCTCTGTGAGTTCAAGGCCAGTCTGGTCTACACAGTGAGTTCCAGGTCAGCTGGGGCTACAGGGTGACCCTGTCTCAAAAAGACCAAAAGACAAAAAAAAAAAAAGATGTAAATCTCTATGCTACTTGCAGTACTTGCAGAGCAAACAAACTTATCAACCCACGAAGTATAAAAGCTCTACAGGTCATGAATTCTTTGAGTCATGGAACAAACTCATCTTGCTTTTTTTTTTTTCCAAGTAGGCAATCAGAACACAAAAGAACTCATACTGACAGAGCCTAGCACAATCTGAGGTAGGATGTAGGAACACACACCTCCAGGATACTATAGTCGGTCCCTCGAGCATACATCACAACTGCATGGGGAGAATAGGTTCTCAGTCTCATGGTCAATCTCATCTCTAATTTGTTCTCATTCTCCGTTAGACGATATTTCACAAAGCTGTTTCCAGTAAAGGTTATGGATGAACTCCCTGCAAACACAGAGGAAAACATGTCAGAACCAAACTTAGCTTATTTTTAAGAGGATGATCTTTCTCAGAGACTGATTCTCAAAAATTACTTATTTTTATTTTATGTGTATGAGTTTTTTCCTGCATGTATGTAAATGTGTCCATGTCATGCAATGTCTACAAAGGCCAGAAAACGGAGTTGGATCCCCCTGAAACTTGAGTTACAGAAGATAGCTGCCATGTGGGTGCTGGGAACCAAACTTGGGTCTTCTATAAGAGCAGCCAGTACTCTTAACCACTGAGCCATCTCTCCAGCTCTAATTTTTTTCTTTTTTGATTTAAGATAACATTATAAAATTCCATGGGAAAATGGAAATGTCTATTTGCTTTAACAAACAGCACAGAACTGGCTCTCCACTTGGAAGAGAATAAACGAGACTACTGTACCACAGAGAAATAAATTCTAAAATAATGACAGACCTAAATATAAAAATGTTCAGTGTGAATTATTAGAAGACAATTTCAGAAAATAGTTATATAGCCTCAAGGTGATTTGGCAAAGCCTGTCAAGCAAAACATAAAACAATCCCTATTCCTCAAAGAAGATGAAAGTGATGACAAACTCCAGAGATGAAAATCATGTTCGCAGAACTGACTAGATAAAAATTACATTTCAAAGTGACAAAAGACACATTTAACAAAATAAAAGACCAATAACAAGAGAGGGTAAATTGCAATAAAAAGTATGTTAACATATAGTACATAATACACAAAGACTTCTACACATTGATAAACATAACCTAACAGGCAAATCACACAATAGGAAATGGTAAGTGCAATTACTAATAAAGGGGCAGCTACTATAAGTAGCCAGAGAGGCAAAGACTAAAATCAGGAAGTACTGTGCCAAGCCCATTAGGTGAAGGGTATGTTTTTAATCAAAAACTTCCAGTACTGATAGGAGAATGAGAAATGAGACCCTCACAGGTGCCTGGAAGAAGTGAGAATTGGTTCAACCTTTTTGGAAACTAACAGAATGTTATGTCTAAGGTATTTAAATGTGCTTAGCTCAGATCCCAGTTTTAGAATGGAGTGAAACAGAAGGAAAAAGGCAGCAACATGTAAAGACAGACAGCATTTTTTTTAATAGAAAAGACACATTACAATCGGAATCTTTATATATAAGGAGACGTTGACTAAATTCTGGTTCCGCTATTAAAATGGTCTGCATGCGCTGGCTGGGAACCCGTCCTTATATACACAAGAAGTTGAGGACTGTGTGAGGTACTTTGCAAGAAAGGATTAGAGAGGAAAAGGAATATAAAGCTCTGGAGTACATACAAAGAACAGAGGGAAACGCTCGACTGAACGCAGGAAAGTTACTTCTGTCTTGATTAATCTCTATTTTCAGTTTGTTATAATAAATACTCTGTACCGCATTTTTTACTCTAATGAAAGAAAAAATATTCAAAAAACTAAAAGTGATTATATGAAATAAATTACACCTAAGGTCTCACCTGGGCACTGACCAAACCCGCCCCCGGGACACACACAGGTGTACTTCTCTCTTGGGTCAGCAACACATTCAGATCCTGCAGGGCAAGGATTTTCTTCACACCCCTGATGGACAGGTGGGCACTTCCCATCTTTATTTTAGAAAAGGGAGAGAAAACAGGAAATTCAAGAAAATGGTCATTACTGGGTTTTTGTTTGCTTTCTGTAGTACTGGGGGATTGAACCTAGAGCCGCATGCATGCTAGACAAGCACTTTACCACTAAGCTACATCATATTTTATTATTTTTATTTTATGTGTATGTGTATTGCCTACATGTATGTAGGTGTACCCGTGTCACACAATGCCCGCAGAGGTCAGAAGACAGAGTTGTAGATGGTTGTTAGCGGCCATGTGGGTGCTGAGAACCAAAGCTGGGTCCTCTGCAAGTAAGTGCTCGTAACAACTGCTGAGCCATTTCTCCAGTCCCCTAAGCTACTTAATTTTAAGATAGGACATCACTATGTTGCCCAGGTTAGACTTAACTCACTCTGTAGTCCAGGCTAACTTTGAACTTAGAATCCTCCCAAGTAGATGTGCTCACAGGACTGCACCATGAGGCCTGGCCAGGATGTATTCTTTACCACTCATTTCTATATAATTATGTGTTACTACCTTTGCAGAGACACACAGCTGTCCTGTGGTGGCGGGGAGTCACAAAACTCAGTCTGGCTGTGCTGTGTGTTGACATAACATTTTCATCCATAGATATCTTCTCATCACAGAATTTCCAGGGGCAATTCAGTCCTGCACAGAGCTTCTGGAACACATCCAATATCCTCACACCAATGATTTCCTCAATATCAGTCACAGAAGAATTAATCTTGAGCAGAAGTTGCTTTGTTGAAACCTGGGCAGTACCTGATTTCTCTACAAAGAGTAAGACATCTAGATGCGAATGAGGTTCTGCGGGCTGCAAACTGACAATCTGTATGTCGTTTTTCCTGACACCCAGGATGTTCCGTAGAGCTCGCTGGAAGTTTCGCCAATAGTCACCAACGAATTCTTCCGGAGTGAGATTGGCAAAGCGGATAGCAATGGTGTGGTTCAGCATCTCCTGCGTCACTTGTTGGATGTGAACTGTGATGTCAGCCACTGTTGTAAACTTCCCATCTGTTACACTGACATTAAGAAGGTACTGGCCTATATCCAGCTTTTTGTGTGCAATCAGCTTGCCCCCTGTGCTGGAAACAGAGAACAGGCTGTCCGTGTGGGGATCCAGACTGTAGGTCAACGTGTCATACACATCTTGGTCTGTTGCATGGATCTTTCCAATGACCCCACCCGAATATTCCTCTCCAAAAGCAGTAATGAAAATCTCCAGTGGCAAAATGGCAGGAGGATGGATGCTCTCCTCAATGACCCTGATGTCAACGTGTGTCAAAGATGACAGCTGGGGTTTTCCATTATCCGCCACCTACAAGAATAGAAGAAACCGCTGTCACTGCTACAATGTTCTAATAAAAATAAATTTATTTAAGTTATGCAAATGTAACGGCTTGATACTCATTTCTTGACAAGAAGCCTGACAAGAGAGAGGACAACTTTGTCACCTACTCCTACTCACAATAAGCTACATCTCTATCTACGAGCGAGTAGCCAAAGGCTACTGAGATAGAATGGAAGTGTCGTAAAAACAAATTATATTCATTTTTGGTTCTCCATAAAATATAAGTAAGCTGCTCAAATATACAAAGACTGTGATGACTCCACAGTGAAAACATGAAGGACTTCACTACCTTAATATGCAGGAGGTAATGGTCCTTCACTTTCCTCTTTATGACAGCTGCCGTCAGGAGGACTCCATGCTGGTTCACTTCAAATGCTTTGTCATCATTGCCATTCACAATAGTAAAGAAGAAGGGGGGACCGTTGTGAGAAGAGTCCTTGTCTGTCACAGCTAGCTGTAGGACACTGAAACCCACTGGCTTGTTTTCCTGCACAAAGTCACGAAACAACAAAAACCTCAACACAACCAAAATCTGTATGTATGACTTTTATAAAATATGCAGATGATAAAACAATAAAAACTTTATTGCTGATGCATCTCAAAGGAAGAGGGAAGGAAGGTGGAGGGAGGGAATGGGATGGGCTCATGCAGGGGTGAGGTGAAGAGAGTTGAGTAGGAGACCTGAGGGTTGGCAGAGAAGAGAAGGGAGAGGAAGATAGGAGAGATGGGAGGGTTGGATAAATACGGAGGAAAATCAACAGTAGCCAAAGATAGGATTATTATGAAAAGCTTTTACTAAGGACTCTTGAGACTATCTTAAAAATCAAAACACAAAAAGAAGCGACAAGAGCTTAGCTGCATCTTGGATGCTCCTTTTATCCTAGATAGGGACTGGTAAACTCATCTTTTCCAGTTTTTCTAAAACATAGTTTTGGGAAAGATATTCAAATTAGGAACTGGGACCACTGACTTCCAGAGGCCACAAACCCGGCAGATGCTTACTTGGATGATGACACTGTAGTTGCCCTTGGAGAAGACGGGAGCATTGTCATTGACATCAGACACGTCAATATTCACTGTGGTCGTGTTGACTCTGGGTGGATTGCCATTATCTGAAGCTTGCACTGTGAGCGTATAACCTGAAATCTTTTTTAGGGAAAAGAAAGAATGCCCATTTGTTTTCACAGGGTCAACCAATCAGGAATCACTGGCATCCTTTGCTGAGCATATATCTAGGTAATTCCCTAACCTACCACTGAGTATATTATTTTCTCCACAGGAAAATTAACCAATAAGAAACAGATTCCCAAATGTCTTACAGCAGGGTCTTATTAAAGTGCTTCATCTTTAAAAACTTACCATTGTATTAACAGAAATAAGAAGGTAAGTAATACAAAAGCTGGGAGAAATTGCTGACCTACCTCAAAGGCCCTTAGGCCCTTACTTTGGTAGTAACAGGTGTTATCCTCCCAAGGGCTCAAATCTTGCTGAGTCAGAAGTAGAGACAGGAGCTGCTACTTACCCCTGTGTGCTTGACTCAATCCCAATAACTCAGGACATGCCATGTCACAGTCCCCCTCAATTTCACACTTGGATTATACTTAGCCATCTAAATCTCTCAAAATATTTGTGGTCTCTTGCAAAAGAAATCGTTGAGTAGGGGAGCTTTGCTATCAGGGAAGTTCCCTGTCACACTCTCTTTAGAGTGAGTGGTAGAAGAAGCCAGAAAGTTAAATCCCAAACTGAGGTTCTACAGGACATTAGTCCTGCATGATGCTTCCCTCAAAACAGCCTTGTGAAAGCACATTAGCTCAGGTACACACCTGCAATCCCAGCACTCAGAAGGCAGAAGCTAGAGGACTGAGTTTGAGCCAGCCTGAACTATAGTCAGACCCTGCTTAAAAAAAAAAAAATCTGAATTTTACTCTGTTCAATACAATGGCAGTTCTATATCTAATAGTCAGGCTTTCCAAACTCTTAGAAAAACCTTAAAAATAATAGGCCAGGAAAAAAAAAAAAAAACTGAAGAAATAAAACTTTAATTGCTTTTCAAGTATTTGTATCTTGGCTTGTTAATTCCTAAGAAGGGGAGGATTCCACCTTTAGGGATTTCATATGACACCAACCAGATAGGAACATATGGCATTTTATTACTTCGGTGCTGTGTAAACAATTTACATCACCTGTTTGAACTTACCATTTCCCTGTCTAGAGGTTTTGTCACTTTCACTTCTCCCCTGACAGGGTCAATCGTAAACGGACTTCCTTGATTGCCTTCTATAATCGAGTAGTGGATGTGGCTATTTGACGGTCCATCAGCATCATCGGCCATGACCTAGAAGACATCAATCCTGTTTAGGAGGGACTGCGAAGGAAGGGACAGAGGTAAGAACAGCTAGTTGTTTTAAGTCCGTTATTCTAATTAGTTCAACAAAGGATTTCTTAAAATTATCAGGGCTGGGGTCAGAGAGGTGGTTCAGAGGTTAAGAGCACCTGCTGCTCTTGCAGAGGACAGAGAGTTCAGTTCCTGGCACCCATGGAGCGGATAGCAACTGTCCATAACTCCAGTTTCAGGCAATCCGATACCCTCGTCTGGCCTCTGTAGTCACTGTGTGACATGGATGTACTTATATGCATGCAGGCAAAATACTTGTACACATTTAAAAAAATGAATAAAACTTTAGAAAGAAAAAAATTTTGAGTGCTGAGGATCAAACCCACAACTTCACATGTATTAGGTAAAGGCTCCAACACTGAGCTATGTCCTCAAACTGAATATTTTCATGGCTCTAAAATATTTCAAAGAAAGCCAATGTAATATCTAGACTGATGTACTGAACATGTCTTCAAGGACCTGGACCAGACAAGGTGAAGGAGGATGCTACGCACCGTGATGACAGACTGCTCAAGAACGGCATCCTCACTGACCACTGTCGTGTAGGTGTCTTGGCTGAACACAGGGGTGTTGTCGTTGATATCTGTCACATTGATGCTCACAGTTGCCAAGTCACTCAGTGAAGGTGTGCCTCCATCAGTGGCTTCCACAGTCAGGTAGTATTCATGGGAGCTTTCGTAATCCAGGTTCTCAATGATAAATATGGCCCCTGTATAGAGAGAGACAATTATTTCTAATACTCTGTAATTCCACCTTTTCTTGTTATAGAAGTTAAAACAACAATTAGGTCTCCATTCCAAAATTTGCTACTTTTATACATTTTCTGTCCCCTGTCTCCCCTTTCGGATACAGGTCTCCCTGTAGCCCCAGATGGTCCAAAATTTGCTATGTAAGCTAGGCTGGCCTTGATCTCAGAGATCTGCCTGCCTCTGTATCATGAGTTCTGGGAATAAAGGAGTACACTACTATGCTCAGCTTGATTTCTTAATTCAATAATTAAAGATCATGAATTTGCCTACTCCTGGATACCTGTTTATTTCCTTTATATTCCTAATATCCCATGTGATATCTAAATTCCTTTCCCTGTCATTATCTCTGCTTTAAATGATTGTAATGCTTTAAAAATGAGGATAGTTCTCATTCTTTCTTTGTCATAGTTAACCAGACTTTAAGAAACAAAATTAAACAATTTAATTCAATTCTTGACCTTTTGGTTTCTTTCCCATTGTTTTTATAAACATGAATAAATTATTAAAAGAAATTGCTAAAATAAGCCTCTACTTCACCTTATTAAATATTCCCTTTGAGATCAAGGCATGGTGGTATATGCCTCTAGCACCTAGAAGTTAGGAGGCTGAGGCAGGAAGATCTTGAGTTTGTGGCCTGTCTGGACGACATACAAAGACCCTATTTCAATAAATAAGCAAAAATCAAATCAAATCAAATTCCTTTTTTACTTAAAAGCTCTGATAACACTTTTCTGTCAGGTAAACCTAGTCTATTCAACTTGAAAGAGTTGGATATTAAAATCCTAAAAATATTTCATGATAAACATTAAAATAGATTTTAAAGTAGCATCATTGGCTGTGGTGTGGTGGTGCACACCTTTAATGCCAGCACTCAGGAGGCAGGCGGGGAGCTTCATGAGATCAAGGCTAGCCTGGTCTACATTGGGAGTTTGGAGAAAGTTGGGGCTTACAGGGACTCTGTCTCAAAAACAACAAACAAACAACATCAGTAGATATAAATTCTTCAACAGAAAGTCACATATTATATACAACTAAGTGTAGCCTGAAAGCATAAAATTTTACAATGTCCTGAGAGTTAAAAGCTATTTCACACCACAGGCGGGTAAGCACAATAGTAGCTATGTCAGGAGATAGTAATGTGTCTGACTCTTAAGTATGTTGGTAGTCATTCAATGTGATTCATATGACTTCAACTGGATTATGTAAAGGCACTATTAGATGTCTAGTACAAGAACCAAGATTTAAGAGGTCAAAGGCTGGTGTGACTGGGAAGGCTACTTCACCTGCCTTAGATACTGGAAACAAAATGAGTAGATCTACAAGGACATTACCACCAAACATCTTATCTTGACAAACCTAGGACACTTTAGTTAACTTTTTTTTGTTTATTTGTTTGATTTTTTGGGACACTCCTTGTAGCCTTAGCTAGCCTGGAACTCACTATGTAGACCAGGCTGGCCTCCATCTCACAGAGAAGCTCCTCTGCTTTGAAGTCATGGGATTAAAGGTGTGAGCCACCATACCTGGCTCTTGATACACTTAAGTCTTTACTTTTCTACTTTAAGCTAATTTACTTATAATTTACAATGGATATGCCAGAAAGTAGTTACTATATAGAATTAGAGGCTGAAGTCTCCTTTTTTTATTATTTTCAATTTTATTTATTTTATGTGTGTGAGCGTATTGGCTGGGTGTATGTAAATGCGCCCGTGTTGTGCAATGCCCACGGAGGTCAGAAGAGAGTATCAAATCCCCTGGAGTTGGAGTTACAAATAGTTGTTAGCCATCATGTGAGTGCTGGGATCAAACCCGGGTCCTCTGCCAAGAGCAGCCAGTGCTCTCCAACTGCCATCTCTCCAGTCCCAAGTCTGCATTTTTCTAAACCACTGTCAATCCCTTTTAAAATAACTGAAAACTGAGTTTTATCTTTCTACAACACCTACTGATCACACGTGACCCATCACTTTGCACAGTGAAGTGCTAGACAAACCCAGCCCTTTGGGTGGAACAAAGGGCTTCCTCGAGTACAGGGAAAGTTACCTGTTTTGGAATCTATGCTGAATTTTCCATGTTCATTTCCACTTATTATTGAGTAGGTGATTTCTGCATTTGCTTCGATATCCCGACTTGCTGCATACACCTGAAGAACTTCCGTCCCAATCAGAGTGTCCTCAGACACTGTGGCACCATATTCACGGTACTCAAACACAGGTGGGTTGTCATTTATATCCAGAACTGATACGACCACAGTGCCAGTGGCTGACAACCTCCTTGGCAATCCTTGGTCTACTGCTTTCAAAGTGAGAGTATACACTGCCTGTAGCTCTCTGTCCAAATGCTTTTCTAACTGAATAATTCCAGACAGTTCATTAATGGAGAACTGCCCATCAGCAGAGTCAATCAGTGAATAGGAAATCTTCCGATTCAATCCTGTGGAAACATGAAGCTCTGTCAGGTTTCATATGAAAGATTAGAATTTTTAAAAATACAACACATTTTCAAAAAGGTAAAATGCAAACAGATACTACCTAAAATTCTTATGTTATTATGATCTAGAAAAAGCTCTCTGAATTATAAATTTATAAATTTATGGAGTTAAATGTAATGTTCATAGATGTCTTGTTTTTTAGGCTGTTTTATAGAGTGCACTACACTATCCAAAAGATTTATTTTTTAAAATTAATTATTTCTTAATTATATGTATATGAGTGTTTTGCCTCCATGTATGTAAGTGTACCTGTGTTGGCCATGCCTGAAGAGGCCAGAAGACAGGGCTAGAGCCCCTGGAACTGGAGTTACAGATGATTGTGGTTGTTAGCTGCCATATGAGTCCTGGGAACTGACCCAGGTCCTCGGCAAGAGCAGCCGGTGCTCCTAACTGCTGAGCCATCTCTCTAGCCCCCAGACTTCTTTTTATTAACATATTTTTAAAAAATTATTTATTATTTTTATTTTATGTGTATGAGTGTTATGCCTGCATGTATGTGAGTGCACCCATGTCGTGCAATGCCTGCAGAGGTCAGAAGAGGCTGTCAGATCTCCTGCAACTGGAGTTATGGATAGTTGTTAGCTGCCATGTGGGTGCTAGGATGCCATGTGGGTGCTGGGATGCAAACTCGGGTCTTCTACAAGAACAATCAATGTTCTTAACCACTGAGCCATCTCTCAAGCCCCTATTAACATACGTTTTTAAATATTTATTTTTATTTTATATGTATGAGCGTACTACCTGCATGCATGTAAGTATACCCATGTCATGCAATGTCGATAGAGGTCAGAAGAGAGCACTGGATTCCCTTGGAACTAGAGTTACAGACAATTGTTAGCTGCCATATGAGTGCTGGGAATCAAACCTGGGACCTCTGCAAGGAGCAGCCAGTGCTCTTAACTGCTAAGCCATCTCTCCAGTCCCTTAACACAATATTTTATTATTTCTTAGAGAATTCCACACACACACATACATGTCCCACACATGTATTTTTTTAATCACATATACCTGCTACTCCTCACCCTAAATCCTCCCAGATCCACCATCCATTCTTTCCACCTTCCTCCCAACTCCATTCTTTTATTTTTTATTTTTTTTAATTTAAATAACCCACCAAGTCCAATTTGTGCTGTTTGTATATACTCACAGGTGTGGAGGCCATCCACTGAAGTCTGGTCTGCCTATCAGGGGCCATATCCTTAAAGAAAACGGACTCTCCCTCCCTCAGAAGCCATCAACTGCTTATTAGCAGCTGCTCTACTAGGGGGTAGGAGCTCATAAGCCTCTCTTCCTCCATGCTGGAATATAAGACTTCTTAAAATGAAGTCTATTTATTTTTATTATTATTATTTAAAAAAAACAAAAACAAAACAAGGCCTCCCTGTAGCTCCAGCTAACCTAGAACTCACTATGTAGATCAGGTTGGTCTCCTTCTCATAAAGATTTGCCTGCCTCTCCCTCCCTAGTGCTGGGATTAAAGGTTTGCGCCACCACACCCAGCTAATTCTTCAATATTAAAGATTCAAGAAGTTATTTTATCCCCTATTATCAAAATGTTTGACTGCATGTCCTTATTTTCTTCAGAAACATCTTTGAAAGATTTATGAAACTGTAACAACATAGTACTTGTATATTTCTGTGACACTCTCACTTCTTTACAGCACTAATCACAAAAATAAGGCCTCAAGGGGCTGGCCACATAGCTCTGTTGGCTCTGTTGGAAAGCACCTACCTAGCATATGAAGGCCCCTAGTCCAATCCCCCACACTACGGGGAAACAACAGTTAATGAAGTCAATAACCAGAACCACAGTGACACCACCACCACATTGCAGATTGTCAGACTTTAAACATACATTAAAAATGACTTAGTTATCCTGAAGGTTTAAGTCTACAACAGCAATGGGCTTAACCATATGCATGAAGTAAAGAGGTCAAAGAGACTACGCTAGGGTATGTTCTACAACAGGGGCCTCCAAGCCTTTTGCACATCCTGGGCAGAGCATCAGCCAGATTCAGGATACCTGCATCTGCATCTGTGGCCTGCACCCGGGTCAGAAGCGTCCCAGGCTCTGTGTTTTCAAACACTGTGATGGTGTAAGGATCCGCAGTGAATTCAGGGGCATTATCATTCACATCTTCCAATGTGAGCACAATATTAGCCTGACAGGATCTTCCTCCTCCATCTGTGGCCTTGACTAGAAGATTATAAACTGCTTGCTCTTCACGATCAAGGAGAGCTAACGTTTTCAGTTCACCTAAAACCAAACAGAAATGAATGGACTCACTGAAAATTTTGATGTGAACCATAATTATACATCATCTCTTTTCTCCAACAATTACAAAATTTGAATCACACATTTAGAGAAAAGTATCAACACGAGTTCATGAGGACTGCCAGGCGCCAGCTCTTAAGTCATAAAGATATGAGGCTAAGAGCTTCTTATATGACATTGGATGTACCAAAAGGAGGACAGCCAACTAGCTTACCAAATTTAAAGGTCTAAAGATGAAGAAAAAAAATGGATCATTTTCATTACAGGAAATGCAAAATTAGAAATTTTGCTCATGAATTTAAGAAGCATACAATATAAATAAAATAGAAACTTTGGGGTATTTCCTGGTTTTTTTCAAAGAAATTGTACAAACTTCTAAATTTTAAAGTCATTACTTCAAGCAAGTGACAGCGTGGCTGTTTATTTCATCCCAAGTTTTACATATTAAATGGCTCTTTAGAGGTCTAAAAGATGTCAATTCCATAACATCAGTAAATTTTAAAAGACCAAAATAAAATTTATAGCTTTATATTGATGTCATGTCACCCACATACATGATTCTGTTGGAAATATGTAACTAAAATGTGTCACCAATTCCATTCTTACCTGTGTCTGGATTTAGTTTGAATTTCTCTGCACCTGAACCAAATAAAGTGTAAGTGATCTCAGCATTGGACCGGATGTCTGCATCTGTGGCGGAGACCTGCATGACCAGCTTCCCAGGAAGGACGTCTTCAGGAATGGTGTCGGAATACAGAATCTATAAAGATGTTGAACGACAGTTACAGCAGATGTGCTGTGAGGCAGCAGTGATGGCCAAAGGAGCACGGAAAAGACATCACCTCACTTTGGCCACAGAAAACATGGAAAATGACTGTAGTTAATGCTCAGAGCTCTGAAAATGATTTTCTTATAAAATACATGTATTTAAAACAAAGGAAGAGCCAAGGAACAGTCACCAACTTCACATTCCCAAGTCTGGCCTGACATTTTATGCACAGAATACTAAATATGATGTGCTCTGAAGCCAGTTTCCTATTTAATTCAAATTCTTATAAGAAGATGTTAATCAGTGCTTCATATTTATCCAAAAAATTAGAGATAAATAACTATTACCTCATATTTACTTATTTTGAAATGCAGAAATTTACGACGTGCAACGAACTGTTCATAACACATAACCAAATAATTACAGTGAAGAGAAGTGTTCATCATAGGATGGGAACAAAATGAAGATTCCCCCAAGAGGGGACAGGTAAGGTCAGGCCCTTCCATTACCCTACATGGCTCCCTTCCTTCACAACTGCCTAGACCTTCACATGTAATGGACACGTGGTCCAAGTTCCAGTTACCAGCCAAGTCATAAATGAGAATATAAGAGAAGCTTTCTTGAATTTACTTCTTAACAGGAGCTTAATTTATGATCTAGGTGAACTATATTTTATGACTCACAAAAAATTTTTGTAATACTGATTAATTAAAAAGGTCCAGTGTTTTAATTGTATTATGAACTAACATGGCATGGTATGACTTTAAAAGAATATCAAAGAGGTACAACAAAAAAAATACATACAAGAAGTACACAGCCCTCCACCACCAAGTACTGTTGCCCAAAAGTACACATGTGGACCAGAATTCACCTCTCTCTAAATCTCACTTCCTCTGAAGATGAATTTGAAGTGTTCATTTCCCTGAGGACTTGTGATAATGTTTCTATTCAGCCTCCAGAGTGCTGGGATTGGATTCTTTTCCGTGACTCCAAACACAGTCCCACACTTCTCACGGCAAAGTTAGTATCCCCACACCTCAATTGGCTGCTCCTACTCCACAGCCTTCTACTCCTCCTCATCAGCAAAGCACTACTTTCTCAAAGTTGCCTTTCCTCATCCCTCAGCTCCAGTGATCTCTCCGGCTACAGTTCCACAGCTCCCATTAAAGGTGAGCCCAGCAGGTGCAGGAGGCAGTCCACTAACCTCCTGGTTTCTCTGGTGTGAACAACCAAAGCTTCAAAGCAGTCTATTAAAATAAAACAGAGCTTCACAAGAAAAGCTGCTGAACAGCTGTTGCCCAGCCCCCAAATCATCTCATCCTCAAACGTAGAAAGTGTCTTCACAAAAAGTTTGGAGAGCACTTTTAGAGTCAGAAATGAGTATCATCAATCTATAATTTAGTTTTTTTTAGATCAAAGTTCTTGACCTATTTAGTATTCCCCAAAACAGTCTTGATGCTTTTCCAAGCCCTGCCCATTTAACAATGCCCTCCACTTAACAATAAGCAGCAATGATACAAAACCCATGTGAACTATAATAGAGCATCAAAGGTTGTCCCAGGGAAAGAATGAAGCAGACATAAACTCATAATGTGCAAGGCTAAGGAAAGCATTCTTACCTTTTCACAAACTGGACTGTTGTCATTTGCATCAAGAACTTTCACTTCAACTATAGCTTTTGAAGAGAAGGTCCCATCAGTTGCTGTGATGGTCAGAAGGTAACTGTCCTTTTGTTCCCTGTCTAGTGGTTTCTTCACATAGACCTTCCATTCACCTTGTATATTTTCAACAGCAAACTGACCCAAAGCATCTCCTCCTATTAAATTAGTAGATGATTATGGTCAAAATTGTTTAATTAGAAAGAGAATTAAGTAACAAGAGAAGTCAACTGTACAAAAGATATGTGACGTTATGCTTTAAGAGTGCCAAAAACAGAATTGAATTTGATATATATTAGCTTTTCTTTGGTTTTCTGCTTGTTCTGTACCCCAAGCTAATCTGAACTCACAGGCTACAGGCCTGGCTGGGCTCTCATTTACAGAATCCTCCTGCCTCAGCCTCCTGAGTGCTGCGATTACAGGTCTCTGCGAACACACCCAGAGATATATAAGCTTTTCTATTTACAAAAAACAAAGCAGCAGTAGTATGTTTATTTAAAAATGGAACTAAAGAGAATCAAATAAAGACCACTGAGCAATAATTTAGCCTACAATCAACCTACAATGACTTCTTTTTAGCAACATGTAAATCATGGTGGAATGAAACAGCTTTGCTCACACAAAGAGCTTCAAATTCAGCTTACATGTTATTTCTACTAATTAATTATTTCTACTAATTTTAAATACTCTTTTTAATATATTTTATTTAGTATTTTTATTTTATTTGTATGAGTGTATTGCCTGCATGTATGTGGGTGCACCCATGTCGTGCAGTGCTGCAGAGAAGAAGGCGTTGGATTCCCCTGGAACTGGAATTAAGGACGATTTGTAGCCGCCATGTGGGTGCTGGGAATCGAACCCGGGTCCTCTGCAAGAGCAGCCAGCGCTCTTAACCGTTGAGCCATCTCTCCAGCCCCATAATTTTAGAAATTCTTAACTAAACTACCCCATTAATTCCTATCCTTATCTAACATTTTCCTAATGTAGACTGAACACACAGTTGGAATTTTTTACCTGTTATGAAATATGTCACTTGTCTGTTGATCTCCTCAGAATCAGCATCAGTGGTACTTAAGATGGCAATGACTCCCCCCGGAGGATCATCCTCACTCACGGTCCCTTTATAAATCTCGGCTGTGAATCTTGGTGGACTGTCATTGACATCAGTAACAGTAACATCCACGATGGCCGTGGAGGACAGCTGAACCTTTTCACCATGATCTGATGCAACCACTTTAATCTGGTAATTGTCTCTCTCTTCATGATCAAGTTCCTTGAGAGTCGTAATCCAGCCTGTTTCCATATTAATGGCAAAGGAATCGATGACATCTGCACTTTGGGACTGATCTAGACTGTACATCACTTGGCCATTGGTTCCTGAATCTAGGTCAGATGCCCTGATCTGGATCACTCTACTTCCCCCTGGCAAATTTTCAACAATAAATGCCTCATACGGATTGGACTCCAAAACCGGGCTGTTATCATTTGCATCTTTCACCTGGATACTTACATCTACAGAAGCCACTACCTCATAGTCATCAAGAGTGTACCTGGCCAGAATGGAAAACTGGTACCACTTAGTGCTCTCATGGTCCAGACTCTTCTCCAATTTCAGTCTCCCACTCTGCTTGTCAATCACAAAGAACTCATCTCTATTACTTTCGGGAGTATTCCCTTTGACAAGGCTGTAAAGAACAGTGCCGCTATGCTCTGCCCTGATGAGGTCGATTTCTGTCCCAATTGGCACATCTTCTGAAACTGTATAGGTATAAAATGGCTCTGAAAACCTCGGAAGCTGTATTTCTGGTGCAAGTATTTTAACATAGACAGGAACAACAGATTCTTTTGGTGGAGACCCATTATCCACAGCTCGAACAAAGAAAGTGAAGATCTCATTTTCTAAGCCAATTAAACTTTCCTTTGTGGTAATGACACCAGTCAGTTTGTTAATTTCTAAATTTTCCTTGACACTTTCAGAATCTGCCTCAATGGTATAGGTGACATCGGCATTGGATCCCTCATCCGCATCACTTGCAAAAACTTTAATGACTGACGTCCCTTTGGCAGCACTGGATCCAATGTTCACTTCATACCTGATTGCGCGAAACTGTGGTGCATTATCATTGTCGTCTGTAAGGATGACATTAATGGTGCAGAAAGCAACTTTCCCTCCAGCATCCTTAGCCATTAAACGGATCGAGATTACTTTCTCTGCTGGGGTCTCTCGATCAAGTTTTTCCAAAGTGAATATCTGCCCTCTGTCATTTGTATAAAACCTGTCTTTAGCAAAGTCATTTACAATATGGTAAGTGATGTGACCATAAATACCAGAATCTCTATCTGTTGCCTTTACCTGAACCACCAGGGTATGTAAGGGAGCGTTTTCAGCTAGTTCCACTTCATACTCATTCTGAAGAAAAACAGGACTGTGCAAATTGCCTCCAATTACAGTCACGTGAACCTGAGCCGAACTCCTAAAAACCCCATCTGACACGGAAACATTAAGACTGTAAAATGGCTTCAGTGTGTGCCGGCGCAGGTTTGAGAGCGTGATAATCCCTGTTTCACTGTTGATGACAAAGTTTTTATGATCATTGCCAGACAGAATGGAATATTCCAGCTTGTCTACATCTGACCTGTCTGCGTCCCAGGCTTTTACGCATGTCACAAAATGCCCATGAGCAGCATGCTCACTAATTTTGGCTTCATAAATTTGATGATCAAACAGAGGTGGATTATCATTGAGGTCAGTGACATCCACAATGACAATCATGTCGCTACTCAATGGGGGCATGCCACCATCAACAGCTCTTACAAATATCTTATGTTGCTGGAACGTCTCATAATCCAAAGTTCTGGCTAATGAAATGAGACCTGTGTTACTATCTATGTGAAAATGATCATGACTCTTGCTATTATTTCCAAACATCTGGTAGGAAATTCCTCTATTTGGTTCTGAATCAGAATCTGTTGCTCTAACTTGAACAACAGATGTTCCAATTACAGATGCTTCAGACAGAGCTGTGGCATAAGACTGCTGAACAAATACAGGAGGGTTATCATTGATGTCTTCTACTATGATGTCAACAAACACTTCTGCATGGGTGCCGGTCAAGGAGTCAGTGGCACGTACGCTCAGTTTGTATGCTGGGTGGGACTCAAAATCCAGAGAAGCTATGACATTTATCACTCCAGTATTGAAGTTAATAGTAAACTGACTGAAAGGGTCTCCATCTGTGATGCTATAGAACACTTTTAGCCCTTCTGGGCTGTTGGCTTGTACGTGGACCACCGGGCTGTGCACCTGGATATTCTCTGGAATCTCTGCACTGTAGAAAGCCTTTTCAAACACAGGCATGGCTTTGTTCATAACAGTGATGGGAACCAGAACTTCAGCTGAGAAAGCTGGGCTTCCTCCATCTTTTGCTACCACCGTGACAAGATATTCTTTATTTAAGGTGTCAAGTTCAAATTGCTTTTTCAGAGAAATGTCACCCAAGGGTCCAATTTGAAAGTGGTCGTGATGCTCCTTAAGGTAGTAGTGCACTTCCCCATTTCGGCCACTGTCTCTGTCTATGGCAGTAACGTAGCGGATGACATGGCCTACCTCAGAATCCACCTTCACAACAGCATAGTAGGGAAGGTTGACAAACACTGGTGCATTGTCATTCTGGTCCTCTACAGTGACCTTCGCGACCACATGGGCCACTGTTGAAGGCTCGTGTTCTTTTGTCACCTCTACAACCACATCGAATGCCTCCTGCTGCTCACGATCAAATGGTATTCCAGTGGTTGACAGCACTCCCGAAGTGCGGCTGATTTTAAATCTGCGGTCTGGGTTGAGGATGTGGTAGAACAAGGGCTCATTGATTGGGTTCCCGACAGCGGTGATGACCGCTAATGTTTTGGCTTCCGTGGAGTTCTCCTTCACAGTTGCAGAGTAGAAATCTTGGGTAAACTTGAGTGGACTTTCTTTGCTTTCTTTCACATTGATTTTCACAGAAGTGAAGCTGGTAAATCTTCCATCAGAAGTGCGAACGGTTAGCTCATAGCGGCTTCGTAACTGAGTTGTGTTTTGTATTGTTATAGCTCCAGTCTCACAGTCCACAGCAAACTTGTCCCCGATGTTGCCTTCGGTGATGGAGTATATCAACTGTGAGAATGCTCTGGAATCAGCATCTGTGGCATTTACTGTGATGACTTTTACTCCTTTATATGTTGGTAACAGAAGAGACGTTTCATATAACGATTTGGAGAACACAGGAGCGCAGTCATTGATGTCAATTACATGTACAGTCACATTAGCTGCATATTCAGCAAACAAACGTGGAGTCCCCATGTCATGCACTTGCACGGTGAAGTGAAAAACACGTGTCTCTTCATAGTCCAAACTTAGTACTGTATGAATAGCACCAGTACTGGAATCAATAGCAAAATACTTGTGCAAGGATGGCTCGACGATGTGATAAACAAGTCGAGCATTGGACTCCCTATCAGCATCAGTTGCTCGAATCACTAGTGGGACATTTCTGTCTGTTAGAACCACACTGTTGGGTGAAGCCGCTTCGCTAATGAGTCCTGAATATTCCGCCTGCATGAAAATGGGTTGGTTGTCATTCTCGTCCTGTAGATGCACTAGAACAGTTGTATTGGTAGACAAACCCGCCATGTTGGTACCTTGTATTGTCAATGTATACATGGGTAAAGTTTCAAAATCCAAGGCTTTCTTGGTGATGATACTTCCAGAATGTGGGTTAAGATCAAACGCATCACCTACATTTCCATCTCTTATGTCATATATCACTGATGACTGACTGTGAGCTGAAACCATTCCAACAAAGCTGCCAACCCTGAGGGCCTCGCTGATTTCAGCTGAGTATTCTTTCGATGAGAACTTAGGAGAGGCGTTATCAGCGACAGTGACAACGATATGCACAGAAGTCATTTCACTCATCGGTGGATTGCCTTTATCAGTAGCTTTTACCATTAAATCGTATTCCACTTGGTTACTTCGATCTAATTCTCTGGCAGTTCTTATAGATCCCAGGATGGGATCAATTGTAAAAGAATTTCCAATATTTCCTGAAAGGGTAAAAAAAAAAAAAAAGCTGTTAGAGAAAAGCCCAAGGGGGAATAGGAAGAACAGGGAAACAGAAACAGAGGATATTAACAATTGAATGAAAACAACTTATTTCAGTTTTATGATACTTTTAAATTTTTTAGAACTTTGATCATTAAATACGAAAAGCAAGAAACAGAAAAAAAACCCTGCTGTGTTCCTAGAGCCAAAATTCACTCCCTACTGAAACGAAAATGTGTTGTGGAAACACATGGTTAGCCTCTCACTAAGTAACTCAGTTAATCATTTTTCAATAGTACCTTAAAATTCTGCAGAAATGTATCATTTTTTATAGCATTTATTACTTGCAAATTCTCACCATTCTTATTCATTAAGGGAAGATTGTAATTCACTAAAATTTACAGTAGCCCTTTAAAAAGCCCCATATCTTAAACATTCAGGGAACGGAAAAACTCTTCTATAATCCACACTGTGGGCTTTGAAGATGCCAACTATATTCCCTTCTTAATCTTTTTCAAGTTCATTTATTTCTAGTCAGTGATTCTCAAGTAAGCTTGCTTTTGCTTCCAGAGAGACATCTGGCAATGTTTGTCACAACTTGGAGGGAGAAAGTGCTACTGTGATCGAGACAGCAGAGGCCAAGAAGCAAAACAGCCCATGACACACAGAACAGCCTTGCAAAACAGCCCACAAGGCACAGGACAGCCCTGCAAGTTACTTGGCCTCAAATGTCAACAGCGCATATGCAGCCGAGAACCAAGCTGTGAGGACAGATCTTTCTGCTGGCGTTTCTTTGGAGCGTCCCAGGCTACACTACATATTTATATTTATACAGACTACAGATTTAGTATTCCCTCAACTCCACAATATTCCAGTGTGGCAGGGTCTAAAGAAACCAACAGTACTCTATAGACTTTCTGAATGGTTCAAAGACACTGTGGAGGGACTTGGGTTGTTCCTCCCCATGAACCTTTCCTATCCCTTTTCTGTTTCTTTACTAAGCACCCAGAAATCACCATCCAGTCATAGGACTGAATTAATTTTTCTCAATTGAACACTTACTCCAAAATGAAGATCACCTACTTAGATCAGAACTACTTAGTGTGATCTGTAAACCCAAGAATTAAGCAAGCACTTCTTGCTCCACATTAAGAGTACATACTTCCTCTACAGTCCTCATTTCTTCCTTCATTAAATATATTTTCCAAATATCTCTGACAGTTTTTTTATGAGGCTAGACATAGCCTGGTTTTCATTAAGCTGTCCTGGCTCTGTCCAAGTCTGAAGGCAGTACCTCAGTTTGCAACAAGGAAGAAGGCCAGGCTTCTCCAGGCCCTGAAGGTCTGTGCAGAACCTTGGCCCAGGGCTCTGCCAGGCTGCTCAGACAATAATTTCCGGCCTGTCTGTATTTAGGGGAGTCAATGATCCTGAGTTCTCTCTCACTGTATCATAGACAGGCAGAGGGCTCAGATCCTTTTCTTGTTCAACCTGCCCATTACTCTCACCTTCCAATATAGTGACAGATTGCCTGTCCTGACATGGGAGGCCACTGTGACCTTTCGGCAGCTGCCCTGTTCCTCAGCTTTCCTGTGTCTGTTTTGGAAAGCAACTGGCTTGCCAACATTTATTGTCACTCATCTATATATATTTATCTTATTTTCTATAGTTAAATCTTATTCTGCCAATTAGGTTTCAAACATGCAAGGCTTCAAATGAAGAAATGAATAGTCTTTCTTGGTGCGGGGCAGGTGGGCAGTGTCATAGTGCACTGCATTCCACACACTGCATTCCTGGTCTTCAGACAGGCTGTAACCCTCTGTTCTTCCATCAGAAGCGCACACTCTCCTCTCACCTTAGGAACAAGCCCCCCCCCCCCCCCCCCC